TGTGGTCTTTCTTTGCTTGTGACTTCTTGATGTTGGTAAATACAATAATTGAAAAATACCACATTACATATAATATACATATAATAATGTACAAAACATTATGGAGTATGTTACTGCTGTGAGGTCCTGCCTCCATGCACTTGTGCAAGTGCTAGACGGGTATATTTATAAATAATATTATATTAGGGAAATTTTCCCAGACATATTTTTGACCTGGGGGTAGAATTGATTGTGAACTGGAAAGGGAAAATGCTTATGAACTTGTAAATTAAAAACATGATGCATTTAGAGTAACCCTTTTTCATTTGTATTTAAGAAGAGAATTTGTTCCACTGTGTGATGGCTGAACCTGTTCCTTTTCGTGGAGATGATTTCTCCTGCCTTAAGGAAAATCCCTTCACATGGCACAGAGGAGGCTGGAGTGCAGAGAAACTGGTAGAGATGCAGTTATACAGCCTACCTGAGCCCCACAAACTATCAGCTAAAGAGAATAAATAGATTCAATTGCTGCACATTTGGCAGGCTAACATTTTCAGATTAATTAAACAATAAAATATATATTTTTATAACATTACATGTAAAGAGTCAAGTGGAAGTTTTTCTAAAGTTATTTAATGATATTTATATTATGAAAGCAGATTTTGACACACGCACCGAAGCGTCAGCTTCAAGCGGGCCATCACTAGCCTTTAGTTTCACTGCCGTAGGCTCAGGCCGAGTGAAAGATAAGCAAAGATTATTTGTGAATTATGTAAAGCTACTCTAGAAATGCAGAGCTGATTGGGTCAAACCAACTTTACTTCTTTTTGTCTTCTTCACATTAAATCAATAATCCGACTCTTCCTGTTTATGTCACTGATTTATTTAGAAATGTTATTTCATGATTCATGTTTCCACCCACGCAGGTCACGCTACTGCCAGGAAATAACACCTGACTGATAGCGTTTAGCCTCTGGGAGGTTTAAATGCCACAGATTTATTTTCCCCTGAACGGCACATTTGTTAACAGAGGCCAATAACTCATATATTTAATACCTGAGCTGTGGGAATGACACTTTACCCTCGTCAGCACGGCTGGTATTAAAAGCCTGCAGCCTTTCTAGTTTGAAGAGCAGCTGACTCAGCTAAGACCGAAACAGTGACCTGAGATTTTATTTAACTTTATTAACGAGCATCTATCATATCAGAAGATTCCCGTCGGTGAAGAATTCATTCCTCACTCCAGTTTCATTCAGTTTCAGACTTGTTCAAGCAACAGAAGTAAAATGGAAAGACTGCAGCAGATGAGCCAAAATATGACAGAAAGCCTTCAAAAAATCGGATTCCTGTCATATTAAAGCTCGTCTGTTCTGTTTTATTCTCTGTCAGCGTGGAAGTTCACAAAGTTTCAAACAATGAAATGTGTCTTTGTTAAAGTCATCGCTGTGAGCCGAGAGCTCGAGCTGCAGGCTGCTGCATCCTGTGATCTGCTTATTAGAAGGAAGTGACTGATGGATGCTGCAGTTTGGAGCCGACTGAAAGGTTCATCAACATCTCCATGTCAGACTCAGAGAGTCAGCACACTCTTCCCTCCATCATGAAATAAATTCCAGGTATTCCCCCTCAGTGTGGACTGTCACAGCATGTGGAAATGTCCTGTGATAGAAGAGGAACTT